CTCCGCAGGGACATGGGCACACACAGACGTGCGTGGTTTCTAAGTGTGTGCTTCTCACACTCCTTAAACATAGGGTTAAATGTTTCCCTTGTCAGGAAACTTCAAGTCTGTTTCCTTTGTAATGTGTTTTTCACACTTATCTCAAACCTGGCTAGGCTTTGCCTTATGACCAAAATTTTCCCTTGAAAACACTCCGAGTTCACATAACCCAGAGCTCGGGCCCTACATCAATCACAGGGCCCGATGACTGGTGGGTCAGCTCCATGAACCAAAACAAACCACTCAGCAACTTGCTCTCAGCACAGCTGGGGCTTCCCAGGGTTCACGGGAGAAGAAGACATCTCAGGTGAGTCCCCCACCCAGCAAAGTGTCAAGCTGGGGCCTGAGCCATGAGGGGGGCTTCTCAGACTTAAAAAGGAGCAAAGACAGGTCTCTCCTCTGTCCAGGAAAAACACAAAGAATTGAGAAGAGGCAGGCTTCCCTAGCGCAGGGCAAACTCCAGATGAACTTCCATCAGAACGCGGTCACAGAGGATATAGTTTCCCAGCAGATGCAAGCCTTCAGGACTTGTTATTTTGGTGAGGAAATTAGTGTGTGTAATAAGAAAGGAAAACATCCTTAACAGTTCTTTTTCAAAGACACATGGCTTAGTGCAGACATTAGCTCACATTTGCTATCATCCGGGAAATCCACTCCTCAGTCAATGAGGGTTCACAGCCATCAAATTCTGCTGTCCCTCCAGCCTTCTACCTCCGTGCCAGCTTCTCTTCCTCTATTCCTATTCTAAGTCATCCTGTCAACCAAAACCTACCAGAGAGCAGGTTGCAGCTGGTAAGAAAGAACTTTTGAGGAGGCAAAGCCTGCAGAGATGACATGAGGATTTCAGGGAAGTAGAGACCAGTGGCTAGGAGGAGAACAGGCAACTGCTCAATGAGCTTGTGTAAAGAGGGGGTTTCATGCATCTCTTTTTTTTTTTGAGATGGAGTCTTGCTCTGTAGCCCAGGCTGGAGTGCAGTGGTGCGATCTTGACTCATTGCAACCTCCACCTTGTGGGTCCTGGTTCAAGCAATTCTTCTCTCTCAGCCTCCCGAGTAGCTGGAATTAAACAGGCATGAGCCACCACACCCAGCTAATTTTTGTATTTTTAGTAGAGATGGAGTTTAACCATGTTGGTCAGGCTGGTCTTGAACTCTGGACCTCATGATCCACCTGCTTTGTCCTCCCAAAGTGCTGAGATTACAGGCGTGAGCCACTGCCCCCAGCTTCATGCATAACTTGGCCCCATTGAAGACTTACGATTCCAAGCTCTGTCTCAGACCTTCACCTACCCCCCAGGTGGCCCTGGCCTCTCCACTTCGGAGCTCCTACAGCTCTTCACAAACCCCCTAATGTCTTTCTTAGTCTCCCCTTGCAGGCGAGCCCTTTCTCCTCAGATAGATTCTGTGGAATCGGAAAGCACAAACTCCATCTCATCTTCCCGTTCTCCCACAGCTTTTGGCACAGTGCAAGGTGCATGGTAAATGTCTGATACATCGTTTGATTGATTGGAGCGCTTTGGAAAGGAGGTGTGTACAAAAAGATAGCCCTGAGATGTTTATTTTGTCTCAAAGGCAGACAACCCAGAGTGGAACTGTGTGTTGGGATCCTCCCCAATTGCTGTAGCTCAGATCCAAACACAGTAACACAGAGTGGAGCCCTTCTGTGTAACAGCTGTGCCCTAAATAGGTGCCACGGGACATCTTCAGGTATTTAAGGCAGTATTTCTTCTGCATAGAGCAGGAATCTTGGCCATCAGCTGCTGTGGGTCAACTCTTACTAAATGAGTGACTTTGGGCTCACCTATCTCAGTTCCACAATAGGAATATAACAGTCTGTACTGCATAGGGTAGTTGTGAAATGGGGTGATTGTTACATATACATCTGTTTAGAATAGTGGCTGGCATATTTATCTAACAATAAATGTTTACCATGTGCCAGGCACTGCTCTAATTGCTAAAACTAGAGCAATGAATGAAAACAGCAAGTAAAAATCCACTTCCTCATGGAGCTAACAATCTAGTGACCCTGCACAAATATCAGTGGTCCTTATGTTATTTTAGTTTTATTATTGTTATAGCATCACCATTTGTCTCCTCCATTGGCCTGTATCTCCCGGCCTGGCAAAATTCCAGGCTCACTATGGGCATTCAGTAAATAGCTTCTGAATAGGCAACAAATAGATGTATCCATAATTGTAACATGGCCATATTCCTGTCAATCTCAAAATTATATTAGGCAATGTGTAGTGAGCCTGGTCTAGGGGCTTAAATGTTCAGACTCGATTAATCTTCACAATAAGCCCACAAGCAGGTACTATGATTATCCCCATCATGCAGATGAGGAAACTAGGACAGGCAGAAGTTAGAGACCTTGCTCAGGACCACCTGTTCCTCATGCCATCCTGCCTCTCAGCAGAACAGAGTAGGCCAGATATTTTTCTTTCTTAAGACAGAGTCTCACTTTGTCACCCAAGCTGGAGTAGTGGAGAGGCTTGATCTCAGCTCATTGCAACCTCTGCCTCCTAAGTTCAAGCAATTCTCTTGCCTCAGCCTCCCAAGCAGCTGAGTCTACAGGTGCACACAACCATACCCAGTTCATTTTTGTATTTTTAGTAGAGATGGCGTATTGCCATGATGGCCAGGCTGGCCTCAAACTCCTGACCTCAGGTAATCTACCCGCCTTGGCCTCCCAAAGTGCTCGGATCACAGTCATGAGCCACCGCACCCAGCCTGGAATCGACCAGAATTTTTAAATGCACAGCAGACATGCTGCTGCTATTCTCGTGACTGGAAAGAAATCAACCACCATTTGGACAACTGCAGCCACTCCTAACTCACCTGCCTGGCCTTGGTTCCATCCCATACCCATCTTCAACCCACTTATACAAAGCAGTCAGCTGATCATCCTATATGACACATCTGCAGGTGTGATCTAGTCACCTAGTCATTTGTCTCCTTAAACAACCCCACCCCTGTCAGTCCCTGCTGGCTTTAAAATTGTTCTTCAAACTTTTTTTACTGCTATTCACAGTAAGAAATACATTTTATGTAGTAACCCAATACATACAAATGTATGTACATAGAATTGAAACACAAGTTTCCTGAAAACAGTGTCTGCTCTTCTTTTAGGCAATGTACTTTGTGCTGGGTGTCTTCTGCTTCTCCTTCCACATCTACCCTCTTCCCTCACCACCCTGCCATGGTTTCAAGACTGACTTAGCTACTTAGTAGCTGTGTGATCTTGGGTGAGTTACTCAACCTCACTAAGCCTCCGTTTTCCTCCCTGATAAAAATGAAAAAAAAAAAATGAGAATGATAGTAACAACACTCAGCTTATGTAGGACTAAATGATATTATACATATTAAATTTTTAGAGTATGCCTGGCTGCCTGGTTTATAACAGTGTACCATAATAAGTATATAATATATATAATACACAAAATCATGTTTGCTCACATCATTATTATTTTAAACAGAAATAACAGTAAATGTGCATTAATTTTCATTAAGGTACTTTACTGCCTAGTTCTGACTTAGCAAGGAAACCTACAGACACAGGACATGTGTCCACAGTCTGTAGCTACATAATTCAATTGACTATTTTAGAAATAAAGCCAACAGCATGCTTGAGGCAATTTTTAAAACAAATTCAGATCAATTGCCCTAAAGATCCCAGTTGTCCCAAACTGCATGTTAGAAGACAACTTTCCAACTGAAGAGCAGTTTCATCTCTGCTGGTGTCTTAATGTGCCCAGAGTCACAAACTTCAGCCTGTGACATTCCTAACAGAGCTGTTCCTAATGATGTAGCTCAGGTTACTGGGGAGTGAGGTGGCCAGAGTCTCCCATTTGAAAGTCTGCTTTTGCATAAGCACAGGCGATGGCTTTTTATTCTCCAGAACTTGAGATTATTCCCAAAAGGCAGACACCCAGGTTAACAGTCAAGCCCTACAAGATGCCAAGGCAGTCTATTAGGAAAAAAGAAAAATCCCAGGTCATAAGTCACCTGGAAGGCAGTTTAATTATAAAATGTGGGAAGCTGAGCTTTAAATGTGAAGGGTCATCCTGGCTGTTTCCTCGGACCTTTTGAAAAGTGTTAACTAGTTATCATTATATGAAATTTATAAATGCACCAAACCCAGGGCTATTTATTATTTCCTAGGCGCCTCTACAATTTCCAGTTACGAGGAGCTGGTGTGCACTATTTAGACATTCCAACGCAGGCATCAGGCAAAAGCTTTAAATGCAAACATTTATATTGATAGTCTGATCACCAAAAACTCTAACTTTGAGACGTGTTTAGCATCCTTAAGCAATATTTAAACAGCTAGTCTATCCTTCCTTGACCTTCTCCCTCCTACAGTCCAACAATATGAGTCTTTTTTCTGTCTGCGCAACTAACACACACTCTCTCTCTCTTTCTCTTTTTTTTTTCTCTCTCTCTCACCCCTACTCCATTTCAAAAAGATAATTCTTGCTGATGGAAATTGCCTGGCACAAGATGTGTGGGTGTAGATTAGTCCCTACATGTCCTGGAAAACTCCACCCCAACCAGCTCCCTCCAGTTCCAGGGGTGAGGATGGGATGACAGTCTTTCCTGTCATTCACCCTTTCTCTACCTGTCACACTGTTAAGATCCCAAGAAAGGGATCTTGGCAGAGGTTACCAGAGGCCATTTTCTTTGTAAACTCACATCCAGAGTTTTATTCTACAAATAGGCTGGGGACAGGGCAGCATAGAGAAAGAGGAAGTTTGGACCCAAGATGAATAAATGTTGGTCCTCCACCCTCAACCTGGTCACATTCCAGTAAGGGACACTCTGCTACACCACTAATTGCAGCCACTGTGTTTGTCTGAAGCTTGAGCAGCCTCCTATGCCACGTTGGGAGAGCTGAACCGGGGGTGTGCTGTTCAGTGTTTGATAACCAGCTGTTCAGGGGAAGCCCTAATTTGCAGTTCTTACCAATTTCTGTGATGTAAACGCTTCCCACTTGATCAGTTTCAAGCTGCCAACATGACTTCACGGAACGGAAGAGATGCACAAGTAGCTCGCCGTTCCGAAGTACTTCTGCCACACAGCTGCCATCGATAAAATCACCTCCAGAGTATAGATCCTGGTAAAATATAATAAAACAGTCTGGGTGCGGCGGCTTACACCTGTAATCGCAGCACTCTGGGAGGCCAAGGTGGGAGGATCACAGGGTCAGGAATTTGAGACCAGCCTGGCCAATGTGGTGAAACCCTGTCTCTGCTAAAAATACAAAAATTAGCCAGGTATGATGGTGTGTCCCTGTATTCCCAGCTACTCTGGAGGCTGAGGCAGGAGGATTGCTTGAACCTGGGAGGCATAGGTTGCAGTGAGCCAAGACCGCACCACTGACTCCAGCCTGGTGACAGAGCAAGACTCTGTCTCAAAATAAAATAAAATAATTTGGAGCCAATGTTTTTTGTGTATTTATTAACTCTGTTTAAAATATATTTTATTTAATTGAGAATTGACACCATTTAATTTTTCATAATGGCTATGTTTGACAACCAGCTTACAAAATCTCTGCAACTTTTAACAGTTAGCTCTCATGGGAAATTGCAATCCACTCCAGTGCACCACTGGGTGGACCTCACCTGGACAGAGGGCTGACCAGTGCACTAGCGTCGGAATAGGGATTCCAGGTGGCAATTCAAGAGGCCAGATGTGAATTGACAGCTTACTTGAAGCCATCTGGAATGGTAAGAAATACAGGAGTAGGCCAAGCCAATATTTACAGAGAGCTGCAAGCCGGACACATAGGAGGTAAAGTCCTAACACCAGACCAAAAGAACCGAAGGTAGACTTCACAAAGGAGGTGCAGATCAGAACAGGGCTGGGACCAGGTCCTGTTTTAAAAAAGAATAGGTCAGGAACAAGTGAAGAGGGTTTTGGAATGTGTCACAGATATCCGTGAGACCTACACTGCTCACATGTGTTAGTGACTAATCACGATAATTGCTCAAGTTTATTGAGCACGTAACGTAGACCAGGTGCAGTTTTAAGTGCTTTACGTAGTTGATCTCACTACTGGCAGCTCCATTTTACAGATGCAGCAGGCAGCCTAACTCCAGAGGAGCCTGTGGTTGTACCTGCTATGCGGTACAGGTACATGTGTGTGTTGGGCTCGTTTCAAATGTCATAGAGAAGGAAAACAATACATGAAGAAATACTTCAATGTGGAATAAATACATGTTTCCCAGGCAATGCTCAAATAGTTGGTGTAAAATAATATATGCATCTAGAGATATCACTACAATCACCTATAAAGGGAGAAAGCAGTTTGTTGAGTTAAGCAAGGGTTGATCTTACCTTTGGTGAACCAGATGCACTGCGAATACACTGGGAGAAAATACAAATACAGTCCCCGCTTTCTTGAAGCCCCAGTTTTGACTCCCTCTTTCGTATATCCAACTCATTGGAACTGATATTAAGAGCTATCCTTGCTTCCTGAATCTCCTTCCTCCAATCACAGTGACTTTGCTTCTCCTTTCTTCAAGGCCAGCAACTGCAAGTCAGCCCAACCTACGCCCAACCCCAGCCCCTGGTCTAGCCCCTGTAGCCCAGCTTGAGCACAGCTCTGGGTCCTGGCTTCCCTATGAAAAAACATTCCAGCCCGTGAGCTCCTTGAGGTTTTACGGGATTTTTTTTTTCCAGAGGACCCAGCACAGTGCTTGGTGCAATAGATAGGTATTAAACTAAAAATCGAGGCTGCCTGAGCAGAGGGAAGACATTATCACAGTTTCATATTTACTAGGCCTTTTCATTTTATGATTCACTGCATGGGACACAGGCCAACAGCCCCCCTTCCCTTAGGAAGTGGCCTTCTAACTCAGAATGACACAGTATTACACATTCCCAACAGGGAACCACAAATGCCTCACAAATGTTTCAGGCTGGCTGGAAGCTTTATACTGAGTCTCAAGGAGTGAGTGTTTTCTTTGCAGTTTTGTCTTTGAATAGCTGGTGCACGTGAGGAAGAGCTATCAGGAAGGGCCATTATTGTGCCTGTGCCGTGCTTCAGGGAAGTGAGTGTCAAGTCTCACCCACCAATCTGGGAAAGTTTCCATGAATTCATTTTCCTCTCACCCCCAGTGATGCTCTGTTCGCTAACCCAAGCAAGGGGAGAGGTCTGTTTTCAATTAGGACCTCTCAAAAAAGTGTTTTTAAATGGCCTGTAAAAATAATCCAATAAAGGCCTCAGAGGTGTGAGCTGTTGTCATCATCCTGTTTGGAAAACGTCACTCAGAATGCACCCTAAAGTGAGGGAAGGAGGTTGTGATGCCTTAAAAAAATTAATTTGTGAAATGAACCTGCAGGATTAGTTGTTCGCTTTTGTGCCCAGCTTTAATATGTCCTCAACCAGGGAAATCCGAGGCTTTGGATTATTAGCCAGGTTGGATCACGTTACCCTGTTTGGCTCTGCAGAAATCACACTTTTCATTTTGCCTTTAATCCTAAAGGTCACCGGGAAGGTTAGCCCCAAACACAAATGATACTTTGTGGTCTTACTTTCAGACAATTATCAACTCATAAATCTTGGTCAGACTGTAATGAGAGTGCGAGGAATAATTGAATTCAGTCCAGACTCACAGGGTCGGAGGGAGCAGAGAAGTGGAGTGGGAGGGGACAGGCAGAGGGAGGGGGTTCAGGGCCTGGGAGCCAGAAAAGTCTTCCCTCCAGCACTGCGGACTTTCCCATTTGTCCTTGTTAAATCACTGTGTTTTGAGGTTTGGATGGATATGAGTAAAGCCATTAAAGATGTGGATGGTTCATCAGTAGCTCAGAAAATAGTGAGATTCTTAAAAGAGCCCAGGTCCAAAGGCAGCAAGTGGACAAGAAGGAAAGACTAGAAAAGGAGTCAGAGGACTGAGGTGCTGAGTGCCTCAGCCACTTTCCAGGCTGTGTGGACCTGGGAGAATCAGTTCACCTCTGTGCTGGGAATGGGGCTGCTGGCCCCTCCCTCATTGCAACATTGTCATAAGAATCACATGAGGTAATACACTGAAACGTTTACAGACTTACAGAAAGAGACAGCATTCTTAAGCACATTAACTCTGTTTGATTTGTCCACAATAATTTTAAGAAAATCCGTTGGCTCTGTCCTCCAAACACATCTAGACCTTGTCTACTTCTCACCCATCCAGGCCCAATCCAGCATCATCTTTCACCTGGATTATTGGAATAGTCCTCAAATCAGTCTTTCTGTCCACGAGTGACTCCTCCTCCATAATCCAGTTTCTTTTAAATATGTCAGGCCACTCTTCTGATCAAAACCCTCCAATGGTTCCCCATTTCGCAGGGATAAAAGCCCAATCTCAAGATCACCTATGAGACAACCCTGCAGTACCTGGAGCCCATCTGTGCCTTGCTGCTCTGCCCCTTGCCCAGTCTCCTCCAGCCACACCAGTCTCTTTGTTGCCCCTCGCACCTGTAGGGCGCACTCCTGCCCTTGGCCTGGAATGCATTTCACCTAGACTCACACGTGACTTGCTCATCTTCCTCTACTTTTTGCTCAGGCCTCACTTTGCTTGTCTGCTCTATTTAAAATTGCATCATGGCCACCTAACGTACTCATCATGTTTACCATCCATCTCCCCTCTGCTAGAATGTATGGTCCTTAACGACAGGATTTGAGCCTCTTTTCTTTACTCCAGTTCTTACAAGAGGGCCCAGCCTGGAACACACACACAGTATTTGCCAAACTGGAATGAAAATTCGATTTCTATCTGACTAGAGTTCTCATTGATGCGACCATTTAGATACTGAATTACTAACAATGTTCCCTGACTTCTCCAATCATTTTTCTGGAAAATCTTGCATCAAGCTTGGGTGGTTTGCTGGATTTGATCAATCTACGTGCTCTCCAGAATAGCATGCACCATATTTGGTCTCAGTTTTATTGTTCTATTGGCTCTGCCTGGGACATCTGGCTCTGCCAAGGGACACAGTTGGGCCAGCTGTCCAACATACCAGGGCAAGTTACGGGACAAGTGCTGGCGGGAAAGGAAAGAAAAAAACCTGTGCACCACTGGCCTTCATAACCAACTGGCTTACACACATGAGAATCTGCTGCAATACATACCAAGCTATCAGCGCCAATAACAGAAAGGGAAGGAATCAAATGGTCTTTGGTTTGAAGTTGCAAGCATTTTTGTTTTTCAACACCAAGCATTGTAAGTTAGCATGTTATCTTACATCTTGACAGCACTTTATAGGTATATACAGTTTCATTTCACCCTTATTCCAATAGGGTGGGTGTTACTGGTGTTACTATAGGCAAGGAAACAGATTACATAGTAAGTCTTTGGAAGGGTCATGTCTTTCCATTGCAAGTGAATTTGGCTTAGCTTATAAGCAACAACCCCAACAAACATCCCCGCCCTCGTATTCTACAGTTTAGAATTCCGCAGCAGACAAAACGATGTCTGTCTGCTCTGCTTCCTCAGCTTTCCAACTAGAGTGAAGGCTATTTGCATACAGTGACCATGTCGTATCTCCAAGAGTCTGGCAAGGTTCTTGGCCCAAGGAAGTTTTGTAATTGTAGCAGGGGCTAGAGTAAGAAGTAAATAAAAGATAAGCCCTATGAAGAAAGAAACCGAAGGATGCTGAAAAAGAACAACTTCATTGAAGGTGATCTACTTTGGATAGAGTAGCCAAGAAGGCACTCCTGAAGCATTCACATTTCAGTTGAGACCTAACACATGACTATTTGCTCCCTGGTAGACCTTGGCAGGAAAAAGATAACTAATAATAAGATAATAATAATAATAATAATAAGCTAACTACCTGTCAGCTTACCTGTATAGGAGTGAAGCTTGCGTGCATTCTGAGAATAGGACATTCAGAAAAAGGAAATGGGCAGGGGGAAAGGAACAGAGCTGCACATGCTTGGTTCTTCCTTTCATTCAAGGAATACGTATTGAGATCTACTATGTGGCTGGCTGCTCTAAGCACTCAGGCTGTAAACAAAACTCATGGTGAATATATCTAACAAAGGAGACAGACACAGTCCATTAAACATGTAAGATGCTGCTTATATAAACTAAACAGGATAAGAAGGGTTACAGAATAACAGAGGTGGGAGTAGGGAGAAAGGTTCACTGTTAGATCGAGTCAGGGAAGGCCATACTCAGGAAGTCACATTTCTACAGAAGCCCAGATGTAGAGAGGGGATGAGCCACGCCAAGTTTTCAGGAGAAGAGGTGGTTAGAAGCATTTTAGCAGAAGCAACAGAAAATACAAAGAGCCCGAGACAAAATCATCTTGCCATTTAAGAAGTATTAAAAGAATATTAAGGGGGAGCAGGGGAAGACAAGAAGGAAAAGAGGTAGGAGATGTGGCCAGAAGCAAAATTACAGAGAGCCTTATCCGTGGTTAGGAATTTGGATTTTATTCTGTGCAATGAAAAGCCATTGCCATTTTGAGCAACAGGGTATTGTAATCTGATTTATGTTTGAACAGCATCGTCCTGGCTGCTGTGTAAAGGATTGCAGGAGACAAGAGTGGAGCTAACGGCAGTGGTCTAGGTGAGAGATGATGGCAGAAAGTCCTTGGACCAGGGGAAACTGGAGGTGGCGGGAGGTGGACAGATGTGGGATGATTTTTTGGAGAATGACATGACATAATTTACATATAATTCAAAGTTGTGAATGAGGAAGAGAGAGGAATCGGGGACACTATTAGGTCTGGGACCTGAGCAAGTGGGTGGATATTGGTGCCATTTCCTTGCCTTCCTAGAGGAGGCACCGGATTTGTAGAGCATCATGATAGGCTTGGTAGAGAGCAGCAAGCTGAGACCAGCATGCCCTCTTCCTTCTCTTGATCTTTCCAATCAGGTCAATCTCTCTTTGAGAGGGAAGACAAGAAATGAGGACCCCTTACTGTCTTCATCCATTTGCTATAACAAAAAAAAATCCCATAAACTGGGTGGCTTATGAACAACAGAAATTTATTCCTCACAGTTCCAGAATCTGGAAAGTCCAGGATCAAGGTGCCAGCAGATGTGGTGTCTGGTGAGAGCCTACCTCCTGGTTCATAGAGGGCACCTTCTCACCGAGTCCTCACATGATAGAAGGGGTGAAGAGCTTCCTCCAAGCCTCTTGTATATGGACACTAAGCACATTCATCAGGTCTCCACCCTTATGCCCTAATCATCTCCCAAGGGCCCTCCCCGCAATACCATCACCTTGAGTGTTAGGATTTCAACATACGGATCTGGGGGAAAAACAAAAGTCAGACCATATAACACATACCTTCTCCTCCTAGAAAAATGAGGGGAATCTTTATCACAGAAATATAAGAAGTTCATAAAGCCTCACCCTAAAGCTTAGATTTTATTTTCAATTTTATTCACCTGGGGAAAGGAATAGTATAGCGAAAGTTAAGGAAGAGACAGAGAAATGCATAAATAATTACTACAAGCCAAACTATTGTAGGTGCTAAAGGAACTGTTTCTTATTATCTCTGCATCTCAGTATCTATTACTGTGTCTGGCACAAAAATATTTCTT